CTTCCCCAGTATTCCAACCTCCCCTCATAGCATACATCAAAGAATCTCAACAATACGATCAAAAAGTCCACGAACTCTTGTTGGTGGCACGAGGACCTGTGTTTACTGTGCATACAATCTCTTTGATGCCTCAACAGTACAACATGGCGCTAGACACTATTCTGGCATAAAAAATACCAGACTTGCCTTTGGGAACACTTCTTTAAAACTCTTACTGTCGCCTCAGTACAAATATTTATTTAAAGCTCTGATATTCGAGAATTATAATGCTGTGATAATTTGTGTGAAGAAAGTTTTCTCGGCTCTTATATCTGTGACCCCCACAAGGGAGGTTCCTTGGTGCTGGTGAGGGGCTCTTGATCTAGGGAACTGGATCTGTGCTCCAGTTCCCTGAATTGAATCTGAATACCTTCCCCCCCACATGAGCTGTATAATCCTACGGGTTTAGTGCTCCTAATGATTATAATTATAATAAAATTGCATCTGGGAGGATGCTCTCAGCTTAAAGAATGAAAAGGCACATTATCGTGTCTAGAAAAACACATAAATAACCCGCACATAGGAGAAAAACTTATGGCGTTTTTGCTCGACTTGGCCCATTAGCTAGTTGCGACTAGTTAATGGTCGGGTTATTTGTGTGGGTTATTTGTGCGGTTTATTTGTGTAGCGTGTTTATTCTCTGCCCAAGTTTACTATACTGCTCTCACATCTCCTTAAGCTAATTCCCCGTCACCTAATTTATATATTGGTTTTAAAGGTAGAGATCTCATTAGTGAACCTAATTTCACACCAAATCTTGAATCATTAAGCTACATCACTAGCCTCTACTATTAGCTCTGGCGCTGAGAAATTGAGGGATAACGAAAACTGTAGTATATCATCGTTATTAGATTACTCATTCAGGGGTACCATTCTTTGGAAATATAAACACATATGCAGTATAATGTGATCCTTTATTGACTACGTTTCGCCCACACAGTGGGCTTTTTCAAGTCACAAGTCAGTTCTGTTTGTGACTTGGAAAAGCCCACTGTGTGGGCGAAACGTAGTCAATAAAGGATCACATTATACTGCATATGTGTTCATATTTCCATTGTGTCGGTATTTTATACCATTTATTTCCACCGGTACCATTCTTTATGGAAGGACATGGGGAAAAAGGGTGTTGCAAGACGGTGTATCTAAAGACACGTGGATATTGGGAAACTGATGGTCCTCGAGTGGATCATTTTAGCAGGGACAAAATATTCTTGAAAATTTTAATTTTCCACTAAAATTAAGATTTTTACTTTACTGAGCCCAGCGCTTTGTGATCCTTTCGGATTTAGCGCTTTCCCAATATATGATAAAAATTTCTGTTTAAACAGACATCTTGCAGACATCCTCGAGTTGACTAGTCTGTGGCTTCTTGTCAATAAGATCTCCCGCTGTACCAACGGTGCAGGGGGTGCCAGTGGTGCAAGTAGTGGCAGCGGTGCAAGTTGTGCCAGCGGCACTAACAGTACTGGTGATACCAGTGGAGCTAGCAGTGCCAGTGGTAGGCACTCTAACCTTTAACATGGAACCACAACTCGTACTGGTGGAGGGGAAAAAAATTACCTGCGTGGAGGGTGCGTATCTCTACTGCCAGTGCCACCTACCATGATCAATTAGACACATATGCAACACTTTTAGCATCTTTATTTTGGAAAGGTTTCGCCACGCTGTGACTTCATCAGTCCAATACAAAGAATGGAGAAGATCAGGAGTTTGAGGTAATTAGTCCCTCAGTCTGAATTCGGCTCGAGGCTGAGGGACTGTAGGGGCTGTAGGGACTTCACCATTCTTCTTTGTACTGAAATGATGAAGTCACTGTGGGACGACACGTTACCATAATTAAAGAAACCCAAATGTTGCCCAAGTATCTAATTTATCATCAACTTGTCGGTTCACTGAACCATTTATCCACGACAATTTTGGGTCCCCTTCGTGGTAAGAACCTTAATGCTGGCGACGAGCTCGTAGTTCAAGGAACCGTAACTACCCTTCCCGTCCTTGGCTCAAACCTGATTACCTTTTATTTCCGAGGTGTTTGAAGAAAGTTACTCGAGGCATCAAGAATGTTTTGATTCAATGGACGTGAGGTTTACAGGAAGGTGAAGACAAATACAGTATAAGGCTCTGAAATTCACTATATTTGCAAGAGCCACCAAACCTATGCAAGTAATTGACGCATGAAGTGGTGGAGGCTCGATCCTCCAGCCACAATACGCGAGATAGAAGTGCATCTCTCGCTGTCAGGATCTTTTCAACGAGTCAGTGTGGATCGTAACACACAAGAGTCAAAGGAAGATCTTTACACTGGAGATATTTATGAAAGATATTTCCTGACTAAATTAAGGACACGCTGATCGTGAACTAAGGTAAAGTTGATTTTATATCTCAAACAACAGGAAGCGACCCAGTGCCCAAAGCTTCACGTCTCACGAAACCTATGTCCAAAGCTTCAAGTCTCATGAAACCTGTGTCCAAAGCTTCAAGTCTCACTAAACTAGTGCCCAAAGCTTCAAGTCTCACGAACACCGTTACAAAGTATATTACAGAGTTACAGGAACGAGGAACGCTGTTGACTTATTACCTTTAAAAATCAACTACACCAATGTCATTAAGGCTGCATTTATACAGAAACAAAAATTTATACGCTTAAGCAGGTCACCCAGCACGCAGGAGCAAGCAGACGGAATCACCATGTTACCCTCAAACAGGTAAACACAACATTAACTAAATGGTTATAACTGACCATAATTTCTAAAAGGGTGGTGTGGTAAGCCAGCGGAAGGCCTCAGTCGGATGACCAAAAGCTCCAAGGGTGGGTCATCATCTGACTAACACCCACGTCAGGAAACACTTATCCTGTTTCCTGCCAAACCCTACCTAACCTAAGGTAAACAGACATCAGGGGTCTACAATTGTGGATCTACAATGGTCGACACTTGTCTCCAAGATGTGGTGCTGACAGCTTCAGGGAGACCCCAAGGACCAACAACTTTTTTTTTTTTATAATTATTTTTTACGCTTGTTTATTATGAGTACTTAGATAATCACGGGAATTATTTTGTTTACCGTCATACCACCTCGCAATTCAAATACCCTCCCTTTCTTGAGTGTTATAAAAATCTTTAGTTACTTAAAGAAATGACAGAGAGAGAGAGAGAGAGAGAGAGAGAGAGAGAGAGAGAGAGAGAGAGAGAGAGAGAGAGAGAGAGAGAGAGAGAAATAAATCATCTTTTTCTAAATGTACAACATTCTTGTTTTGAAGGGAGAGTATTCTTAATATAGAATTTTGGAGAGATAAGCTTCACACGACCTAATTCACCTGCGTGTATGCGACCCAGGAGTGTCACACATCCCTTTTGCTTATGTATATAATATTTTGTGTGTGTGTGTGTGTGTGTGTGTGTGTGTGTGTGTGTGTGTGTGTGTGTGTGTGTGTGTGCGCGCGCGCGCCAGTCGAGAAAACACATCACACACTAAAGCAATATTTAAACTGACAAAGTAGTATTAGAATTAAGAAAGTAAGTGGCAAGATAAATCTTAGTGTAAACAAAACAGATGAAAGGCGCAACTGCCTCAGGAAGACCTATAATTAATGTTTACCAACATGGCCACTTGGTACACATTCTGGGATTTATGTTTCATTTGGCAAATAGAAAGTTTTACACACTTGTGTGAATAAATAAAATAATATGCTGGTTATACCACAGTAAAGAGGAAAAATTTCCTCAATAAAATGCAATAAAACTGCACATTGTGTCTTATTAAAATATTTCTGGGTATGATGAAAGAAGAAATCTGGAAAATTAATGTTTATATGAAAAATACACGACAATGAATGACAAAATTGATTTAATAAGAAATATGGCTACCCTTTGCTTTTATAAACACTGCTACACATTTTGGCATGGAATCGACCACTAATAAAACCATTTTGGTATTTTAAATTTATAATATAACTTCAGAGTTTAGATAATTGATGGAGAAGCATACTTAAGTGTTAAAAGTATTCAATAAATGTGGAAATTATTTCAGATCTCGAATTTATATTTTATGAATATATGCCTATTTATGTTGTCAATATATATTCGTTTTATAAGTTAATTACATAAAGTAGGAATATATCTTTCTGTATGTTATATGGTATAGAATATTCATAGCTAGGTTAAAATAGATGATAGTCGCAGGAGGACGGAAGTGAATAAATACGCGCAAAATATTCACTTAAATCGTTAGCCTTACAGCGAATGAATTAATTTGGTAACTAAGCCCATGATAAATAAGGACTTACGTGAATGTTTGTTTTTTTCAGAGCTTATTTATGTCTTCCATATTAAAAAAAAACGCGTTAGTAAATATATTTTCCCAAATATTAAAAGAAATTTCCCAAATATTAAAAGAAATTAACCTTTTTCAGACTGAGGCAACAATGAATCTCAAAACGTCTTTGAAGCCTCAGACTCAGATCATTCATGTGGTTCAGCTATAATTAACGCAGATTCACCAGATTCAGCATTAAGTTGAGGCATAAAAAGGCATAAACCCATGCTTTAATTATGGTTGGTTAATTGGGTTTAAAGTCTGTCTACAACAACAGGGCCATAAAAGCTGCAACTCACTGTACAACACAAGAATATTTTAATCACTAATATCAGAATAAAGCAAACTGTGCGTATACACACTGATATATACAGTCCTTCAAAGCTGTTAAGTGGGATTATTAGCACTCAAACTTGAGGGTTAGGTTAGGTAAGGTTTGTCAGGAAACAGGAGAAGTGTTTCCTGACACGGATCTTAGATGATGATAAACCACTGTAGCTTTTGGTCATCTGACCGAGGCCTTCCGCTGGCTTACCGGTCAACCCCTTTAAAAATTATGGTCATAGTTATAACCAGCCTGAAGGGGATTACTATACGTCCCTTAATATAACAGATCAAAATATTAAAGAAAACGAAACTTCAAATACCTGTAAGAAGATCATGTCTCAGACCGAGCGGCGGGGGCGTTAACCCCCCGAAACCCTCTCCAGGTATACTCCAGGTATGCACTTTAATTAAAGTTAAATCACAGTATGGCAGGTATAATTACTATACCAATTAGCACAAAATCTCCTGATTTTAATTATTAAAATTTTCAAACTTGAAATTCTAAATGATATAACAAAAGTGGGAGACGGCCGACTTGTTGAAAAAAAAAAAAAAAAAAAAAAAACTTAGATTCTGATGGAAGACTTCAGGTACACCCGTAAACTAATAAATGAGTCGTAGTTAAACTCACTGCAGGTTCAGTCACCTTCACTAAACAGAACACACTGCCCACTCACGTTCCCCCGAAACCACTTGCTACCTAACACCACACAAAATTTTATACATGATGAGAAGCTTACCAAATTGATCCCTCTTAAATTAAAAAAAAAAGTATTGTAAGCTCAACCAATATATAATATCGAAATACGTCTTCATTATTTAAATTAACTTAAGGATGTTAAATTATATAAAATAAATGGGCCTTTGTAATTACAAACAACCCGTATTATATTACATCTCACTCAACCAGCCACTCGTCAATTACTCACGCAGGCAAGCTGTCAGACTGATGAATTTTGTATTATTTGATTTATATAAGGGCTCTGTTGGCCTGGTGGTTAACGCTCTCGCTTCACACGGTGAGGGCCTGGGTTCGATTCCCAGCCAGAGTAGAAACATTGGACGTGTTTCTTTCCACCTGTTGTCTATGTTCCCCATCAGTAAAATGGGTACCTGGGTGTTAGTCGACTGGTGTGGGTCGCATCCTTGGACACTGACCTAAGGAGGCCTGGTCACAGACCGGGCCGCGGGGGCGTTGACCCCCGGAACTCTCTCCAGATAAACAGGATGTCCATAACGCAGGTACCCTTTTTTATGCATGGGGACATGCTGACAGATATGCTAAAACACGACAGTGGGGACATGCAGTATTTCTCTCAGAGAGAACACATCATTAGCAGTATACTCCTCAGCATGTATACGGACTGCTGAGGTTTACCGGTACATTTTACATTATATAATTTATAACTGGTGACAGTCTAATTAGAGAGATATTTCAATGCACATGTATCACATATCTTAAGTACTGATGTGACATTTATTTCCATTTAAAAAAACTGCCTAATATTAATGACTGGTTAAAGACTGATGTTATCTGATATATTTGTGAAATAATTCATCAATGCCAGCAAATATATTTTGACTTTTCAATAAATTCTTTGAGCTTTCCAAATCCCGTACTGTCACGAAAATATAATTTATCTTTCAAAATTACGAGTGATTATTATTTTTTACTCTTTCAAGGAAAAATATCTTGAAACTAAAGGCTACCCATTCCTTTCGCGAATCAAACCGGATTACCTACCATTCCCTAGGCACTGTATGATCCATAAGGGTTTAGGGCTTCTTGATGGGTGTAATAAAATGCTTATACTTTTTTAATTTAGATATTACAAGCGATCTTAAGTTTAATGAAGCAGCGAATTTGGTCTCGCCATGACATAGAAATTGCAAAGATGGGCGTTACTGATACGTTTTGTCTGTGGATCAGACTTCTTCAGTCTGTATATCAGTGTTATTATATACCGATAAGACACAGATTGTATTGTATGGCATTTTTTTAAGAAAACGTTTCGCTCATCAGGGATTTTATTAAGATGTTTAGCCCACCAGGGCTAAACATCTTAATAAAATACCATAAACATCGTATCGTATCTTTATTAGCATTCCTTAGCCTGACTGAAGAAGTCTTTGCCGTAGGCGAAAAGTCTCAATAAAGTCTCATTTTGCAGCTCTTTTTCGCCACTTGTTGGCTTTGCGCCATTTTATATATATATATTATATATATATTATATATATATATATATATATATATATATATATATATGCAAAACAACCACTCTGAAAGAATAGAGAAATTCCAAGCGCTTTCGTGACTACTCACATTATCAAGGAACTATGAAAGTGAAGCATCCAAGGAAGCTATATAAGGGGTCGGCCAGCACCTCACTATCAGATCCCACAACGGTTAAACACGTGACGCGCGGCGAGCCAACTTGGATAGGTCCTTTGCAAAACTCACCCCCAAGCTATTTATTTGTCCAGTGTATTATTAAATTCTACCCAAATTCTATTAATTAAAAAATGGATCAAATTTTATAAAAACCAAAGAAATATTCATATTATTGTCAAAACTGCTTTTTATGAAACAAGATTCAATTATATTCCTGTCGACCATGGACTTGCTTGATACACTTTCTCAACTTTTTGAAAATCAATTGGATGTTTAAAAAATCTTTACATGAATAAATAGAGCATTGGAATCTTGTCCAGTTCTAATGCTATATTTATGTTGTTTTAATCTTAGTTCGAGATTTTTACCAGTTTGACCGTAATAAACTTTATCGCAAATTTTACAAGGAATCTTATAGACACATCCATCAGCATTTTGGGGGGAATTCTTTATCAAAAGTTTTTTTACTATATCAAGATTTTTGAATACAACTTTAATATTAAAAGTCTTAAGAAGAGAAGGCATATCAACCAAGTTTTCATGGTAAGGGAGAACCAACATATTGCATATATATATATATATATATGGTGAAGACAAGGCCTCATGAGCATAGCTCTGATCCTTCACATTTAAATGCAGTAATTCTAAATAGGTAATTATTTGTTGCAGGTTTCAATTCCACTTCCTCCTGTAAACGTTTAGACCATTCAACTTAATACATATTTTTCTTTAATGTTTTGAAATTAAATTATTATTATTATTATTGTTATTATTATTATTATTATTATTATTATCGTTGTTGTTGTTGTTGTTATTATTACTGACATCATTTATGCTGCTAATTGTCATAATTCTTGCTTGTATCAAGGTTGTGCGTTCATGCTGATTAAACCCGATTGCCTCTCATTCTCCGATCGCTTTTTAACCCTTACGGATGAACAGCTTATGTGCTGTTGTAGTTATCCTCCAGTAGTCGATAGGCTTCAAACGCAATTAACTAACAAATGATATATTTGTAACTTTCTTTCATCCTGTTAATTACTAAAAATGGAATCACGAGCGGCCACTACGCTCCCTTCCCCTCTGTAAAAAGGGGATTGGAAACAAAATCGCCAGCAGTAGAGCAGTGAGGCGAACCTCCCTCTGGTAATCCCCATGAGGAGGGCTGCCCAGAGAACATGCTGTGGGGATTATATACCAGCTGGGGGGATAAATCTCACCCAGCATCCCCACGGTAATCTCCAAGAGCAGGAGGTAAAAAAAACCCAGCACATGTCGGCTGTGGCAGGGGATCAAGCCAGAGTTGTGGTAAACATTTTCCGAACAGTTACCCTCCGGGTCCTTCAAATTCACCCCTTCTCAAAAAACTGTTTGCTGGAGTTGGGGGCAGTATTTTCCACCCATTTACCCTCCAAGTCACTATCGAGATAATACTAACACAGTCACACAGGTTATGTACACCATGAGTCAAATGTCTCTTATTTTATACATGCTGAGAGTATACTTTAATCTCTGTTTTAGGGGTAAATGTATTGACTGGTTGTGAACAGGTGAGAAGCAGCCATAATGATTCTCGAGCAGTCGATAGGATTTAAATCCCCGTAACCAAACCAAACACCACGATTATAAACAACTTTCGTAACTGTAAGGCTACCCTAAAAATTACCAAACCAGTTCTTTCACCACCACACTATGAGGGTCTAACAAGATTCCATCAGTTAGGTATATTTTTATTCACTTGCATTTGTGGTAACACTGGAGCGCATGCTATCTTAACTTAAATGAACTTACTAAATTAAACGAAACTTGAGAATATATTTGCTTAGTATTTTTATGGATAGTTTTGCTACGGTTCGAGACCTCCCTGTTTCCTGATTCATCCTCAGGGCAAACGTTTTCCAGCCAGTTACCCTCTAGGTACTTAAAAGTTCACCCCAGCTCAAACAATCCTGTTTCCGAATTGGCTGTATCGATGGGCTTAAAGTTGCAAGGGGCGCCTTGGACCATCAGGAGAACTATTCGTACTGTTTTGTTAGGTAAATTCTACTCTTTCAGCCAATGGGATCTTCAACTTTATTGACCTCAGATGTGCCACTTCCTACCTCATCAGTTTGTGTTTGCCTACACTCCGGTTCTACCTTACTTATAATTTTATTATTATATTATATATTTGGATATTTCAGTTACCACGTGTGGCACATTTGTCTTATTCCTTATCTCCATATATATTTAGAGAGAGAGAGATGGCAGTCAGTAGGACTCGATCCCACTTACACAGGGAGGGGCGAGGTTCCCAAAGTTACGCTCTTATCCACTCGGCCACAAATGCCACATAAGCTGGGCAGCCTGGTTCACAAGCCATGTTTCTCCCCAGCCCGGGCACGTCAGTGAGCCTCAAGCATGGATTCAAGCTACTTCAATCTCCTCATGTATGTTCTGACATCACGAGCGATTTTTTTACATCACTGCACCACGCAGAAACAGGCGGGTATGTAGAGACAGCGGTGCATTGATATATTACACACACACACACACACACACACATATATATATATAATATATATATATATATATATATATATATATATATATATATATATATATATATATATAATATATATATATATATACATATATACAGGGGTGAGACCACCTAACACCCTGGCTAGGGTGACACTACGTAACACTCTGGACTCAGCTAAGTCTTCCCCTAGCTAGCCTGGACTGCGAGCTTCCACGAACTAAGTCTAACTCTCACTAACTGGCCGGTCCCTTCTCGGACCACTTGACAAACTAGACTTTGTTAGCTAAGTTACAGTTTCTAATCTGATTCTGATCGAATTCCTTTCCCTTCCCTTTCCCTCTACCATTCTCCCCTCCTCACCTTTACTCTCCTCTCCCCTTTAACCATTTAATTCAATGCCAATATTTTTTTCTTCACAATACACTTCCGTTTTCAATGAGACAAATTCTCATTCCTTATCTGACAAATATTGACAAATTCCTCTAACATCGTCAAGTCACTCAGAGTTAACTAGCAATAAGTAGTGATGAGTCTCATTAATAATTTTGTACCAAAAGAACCTTAGAAAACTTACCTAACCTTATTATAACAAGCGCAAT